TTCTGTATGCCTTCTTGCTCCAATGTGTGCCTTTCTAGACATACATGTGCACATACATGTGTGCGCGTACACACACACACACACACACACATCCCCTAGAAATAGAATTTTTGAGCGGTAGAGCATACCCACCTTCAGCTTTACTAAATACAGCCAAATTGCTCTCTACCTTCTTTTACCAATTTACTTTTTCACCGGTAATACCATTACTAGTTTTGCAAACACTTTATTATTGACCTAACTTTTGTTAATCTAATGAGTTTGAATTGGTTATGTTATTGTTCTAATTTACAGTTTCCTTGATTGCTTCATGTTGATTTTTTAACAGATTTATTACCTATTTTAGTTTTCTCTCCTATGAATTTGTTATTTACAACTTTCTCCTTTTTGATTTTTTCTTTATATTTCTATGTATGCTGGACACTAATCCTGTAAAGATTATATAGTTTATAGATATTTATTTTGTCTGGGCTTTCTCTTTTTATCTTTTTAAAGGAATCTGTTTTACATAATGAGTCAGATTTATCAGTCTGTTCTTTTAGTGTTGGTACTCTTGGTATCTTGTTTAAGAAATATTTTCCTTTTGGCTTTCTACTTAGGAAAATATTCTCTACATTAAGTTTATAAGGATCTTATACTTCCTTATAAATGATAAACCTCTGCTTTTTACAGTTATGTCTCTAATCTACCTGAAATTTATTTTTAATTATGATATTATATGAGACAGGCAGCTAATTTGATTTTTCCCCATATGAATAACCAGTTCCTTGTATACGTTTAGTGCGTAATTCATTTCTCTCCCTAATGATTTTTAATGATGTCTTACATGTTAGCAGTGTCTATTATTTGCTGCTTTGGTTTTTTCAGTAATATTAATATCTGTTGAGTCTTTCAACCTTGCTCCTTGAGGAACTGCTTTGGCTGCTTTTTGGCATGTCTCTTCTATATGAATTTTTAAATCAGTGGATCAAGTTCCAGACACAAAAATCTTGTTGGAATTTTGATTAAAATTGGACTGAGTTTGTAGATTTTGAAAGAGTTGCCAGATTGAACTGCTGCATTCTTCCAAATAAGACCATTATGTAATTCCTCATTTTTTCTTAGGTCTTCTTATAAAGTTATATATTTTTCTTATTTTTAGTGTCTTGCACTTTTTAAAAATCAGATTTGTTCCTAGATAACTTATACTTCTTGTTTTTATTATAAATAAGATCACTTTTTAAATTACATATTCTAATTGTTTGTTGTTTGGTGTATAGAAACACAATTGATTTTGCTCATAGCAGCCTTGCTAAATTCTTAGTACTTCTGATAGTTAAGAGTCCCTCATGATTACTAGGTAGTTAATTGTGTTTACTGTAAATATTACTTGTTTTTTTCTTTATACCTTTTATTTGCTTTTCTTGAATTACTGCATTAAGCTAGTTCCTCTAGTACAATGCTCAATAAAACCTGTGATAGAGATCATTTTGACTCTAAAAGCAATGCTTCTAGAGTTTTTCAACATTGTTTGCTATATACATTTTTGAATACATAAAGTTGTAGCCTTTATCTGATAAGAAAACTTCTGTCTGGACAAGGAGTTTTTCTTTAATTTCTCTTTTTTTTTTGTAAAGTTTTTTTTTACATTAAGTGGATGTTGAAATGTATTTGTGTGAATACTTTTAAAATTTTTCTCTATTTGATGAATTATATGAATCCATTTTCTAATGTATTAATTTCTATATGCTTTTTAACTTAATTTAGTAATAAATTTAATTTGTTCAGGATATTATAAAGTGTGTGTTATTTTATTAAAGATTTTTTGCATCATTTTAATGACTGAAAGTATCCTATAATTTTTTGTGAAATGAGTTAGGGATACATCTTTTTCTATTTTCTGAAACAGAAAATAGAAATCTTATTTAAAATTCAGGCCGGGCGCGGTGGCTCAAGCCTGTCATCCCAGCACTTTGGGAGGCCGAGACTGGTGGATCACGAGGTCAGGAGATCGAGACCATCCTGGCGAACACGGTGAAACCCTATCTCTACTAAAAATACAAAAAAAAAACTGGCAGAGGCGTGGCGGCGCCTGTGAGCCCAGCTACTCAGGAGGCTGAGGCAGGAGGGTGGCGTGGACCTGGGAGGCGGGCTTGCAGTGAGCTGAGATCAGGCCACTGCACTCCCAGCCTGGGAGACAGGCGAGACTCCGTCTCAAAAATAAAATAAAATAAAATAAAATAAAATTCAGTATGTATTTATCGGTTGAGTTTTTTAATGGTAATAAACTATTATGGTTTTTAATTTCTTTTAGTCTGTTTCATTTTTCTACAAAAATTTCTATTGTCTTTTAAAAAATTATTGATATAAATTTATCTATTTGTTGGTATAAAGTTCATTATTGCATTTTTTTTTTTTTTTTTTGAGACGGTATCTCGCTCTGTCGCCCAGACTGGAGTGCAGTGGCCAGATCTCAGCTCACTGCAAGCTCCACCTCCCGGGTTTAAGCCATTCTCCTGCCTCAGCCTCCTGAGTAGCTGGGACTACAGGCGCCCGCCACCTCTCCCGGCTAGTTTTTTTTGTATTTTTAGTAGACGGGGTTTCACCGTGTGTGTAGCTCATGATGGTCTTGATCTCCTGACTTCGTGTCTGCCCGTCTCGGCCTCCCTAGCTGCTGGATCCCAGGCTTGAGGCAACCGGCTGTCTGCATTTTCTTTTTTCTTTTTTTTTTTTTTTTTTTGAGACAGAGTCTCGCTGTATGAGCTGGAGTGGAGTGCAGTGGCCGGATCTCAGCTCACTGCAATCTCCGCCTCCCGGGTTTGCGCCATTCTCCTGCCTCAGCCTCCCGAGTCGCAGGGACTACAGGCGCCCGCCACGCCGCCTGGCTATTTTTTGTATTTTTAGTAGAGACGGGGTTTCACTGTGTTAGCCAGGATGGTCTCGATCTCCTGACCTTGTGATCCGCCTGTCTCGGCCTCCCAAAGTGGTCTCGGCCTCCCAAAGTGCTGGGATTACAGGCTTGAGCCACCGCGCCCGGCCGTTATTGCATTTTCTTATGGAAGTAAATAGCTTGAAATATCTACTGAGAGCTGTAGTAATGATCTTACTATTATCAATTTAAAGCTTTTTCTTTACTATGAACATTATTTTTTAAATTCTAATAAGTAAATTTCTGTTTAATGAAATTAAAGTTTGATAAGTAAATATTTGTTTAATGAAATTAACACTTTGTACATGTATATCTATATTTGGGATGATTCATGAAAACTCAGACGATTTTCTTCTTTCATCACGTCTTGTTTTAAGATACGATAGCCTCTTTCAATGTGAGGAAGAATCAGTTACTTTCATCAAACTTCTTCCCCCTTTCCTCCCTGCCCCAACATAGAGACTGATATGAGAACAGTTTATCCATCTATCCACCTGCTTAATCTTTCCAAACATGTATCAGTAAAATAAGTGTATCAACCAGTTTCTGCAGCTGATAGAATTTTAGCAGTTACATGATGCTCGTTATAAATTTGTATTTCAGGGTTTGACATGTGGTTTAATTGCTTTTAAAAATTTATGAATGTTATTATATTTACAACCTAAATATAGATGTATTTTACAAGAGTTGCAGAAGATAAAAAAATTAGTATTCAAGAATTACTGTACAATGGTATGAAATGATTTTTGTAAAAAGAAAAAGGGGATTGTAGGTGAATAGCTGCTAGGCGATACAGACAGTAGAGACATTAAAAAGGGTGACATTCAGAAAAAAAATATGGACTGTATTTTTTGAACATCTTTGTAGAATACATAGTTTTAAAATTTAAATATCAGAAATCAATGAATTTTTCCATATAATTCCTTAGATTTCATCAATAAAATATTAATATTATAATTATTAATATAAGATAGTTAACTCCTATAAAAGCAATATACTTTTCCATCCCTTTTAAAATCTAAATAAATGTTCATGTAAAATAATGACAATCTGTATTGGGATTCCCAGTAGACAGTAAGCATTTATATTGTTAGTGGTTACTATTAATTATATTTTTGAAATGAAGTTAGCATTGGCATGTTGATCAGGTAGATGTTCTCAGTGTTTTGTATTGACTTGTTTTCCTTAAGTGTTTTTCAATTTCGATACTTGGTTTGAATATTTGAAATTTGGTTTAGACTGCAGTTGTTGTCACACTCTTGCTGTAAAGGTCCAGGTAGTATATATTTTATGCTTTGCAAGCCACGGTGATCTCTCTTGCAGATATTTAACTGGTATTGTAGCACTAAAGAAGCCACAGGCAATATACAAACGAATAAACATGATTGTGTTCTAATAAAACTTTATTTACAAAAACAAATGGCATGCCAGGCTTGGCCTGCAGGTTCTATTTTGCCCAATTTGAATATGTAAAGATTGAATAGTGAGAATTAATGGAAAATTTTAACATAATGGCATTTTCATAATAAATATATTCTTCGGGGCTATTTTTAGAAATTAGAAAAAAGTATTACTGCAAACTTGACCTGTGTAATTTTTCATATTAAAGTGGATCATAGATAGAAATAGATGTGTAGATGCCATAGAGCCATTCAAATTTGTACTTCATATTAGTTTTACCACTGCCAAATAATGGTCATTGAAAAGTTACTTAATATAAAGAGCCAAAAAATATCAGTTTGAAATATTTTTGCTTAGCTTCATGATTTAAATACAAAACCTTGAAAGTTACATACTATTAATTCATACACTGTTCATACTTATAGGCTAACAGATTGGTATTAGTTCATGATAAAAGAGATAAAAATATGAAGAAGGTGTTAGAATGACAATACAAATTTTTTTTTGAGAAGTGAATATTTAAGACTTGAGTAATTTGGTTTTTTGTTCATGATTTTTGTTGAAACCTAACAGTAAAATTTTGTAAGTAGACAAAAAGAAAACAGTAGTTTCTATACAGTTATCATTTGCCTCCTTAGTTAAATCTAAAGAATCATCCCCACCTTCTTCCTTTATCTTTTCCCTCATCCAGTCCTGGAAGTTGCCGTACTCAGTACAGAAGGACAGATCCAAGACTTTAAATTTCCTCTGGGCATCAAAGGAGCAGGCAGCTCAATCCAGCTCTCTGCAAATACCGTCAAACAGAACAGCAGGAATGGTAAGATGGAAGTCTTTTAAACATTGACAGTTTCTGTTGTTGTTCAAAAACCTATTAATTCTAAAATGCATTTGACTCCTTGTATAACCAAAAAACGACTTACCATTTTAAAAGCAGATTTAAAACAATGCCTTAGGACTTTATCATTTCATTCCTATTTTATCTTAATTTATTATCAAGCATGTTTTTTGTACATCATGTGACAATTTTTAACCTTCCTAGGGCTTGCAAAGTTGGTGTTCATCATTTACCGGAGTCTGGGACAGTTCCTTAGTACAGAAAATGCAACCATTAAACTGGGTGCTGACTTTCTTGGTCGTAATAGCACCATTGCAGTGAATTCTCACGTCATTTCAGTTTCCATCAATAAAGAGTCCAGCCGAGTATACCTGACTGATCCTGTGCTTTTTACCCTGCCACACATTGATGTAAGTTAATGTATGCTAATGAAGTAATGGAAGGTTATAAAAGCAGAAAGAAAGGAAAGCAAAACTGAGGTGCTGGGGATGGGGAGAGAACTGGGGAGATGGGAGGGAGGAAAGACAAGACCTTTCCATTTGAATTTTAAATGTTGGACTAGGTCAGAGACACAAGTTTATTTAAGTCTGTGAACATAAAATTAAATGAGCTTGGTTCAGTGATTATTAGAACTTAAGTGTATTCTTAATGAAAGCTAATTCAGTAATCAACAGGAAAATGTAAATGACTCTAATTTGTTTTCAAATGAAAATTAACCCTTACCTTACTTAGCAGCAGGATAGCTGAGTATTAACTCTTAGGACTCTGCCTTTCTGTGTGGCAAAATTTTTTTCATTAGTTTTACTGATCATGTTTGACACAACTGTTACCAAGTGTTGTGTTTTAAAAAAAAAAGTTGAGGAGATGTGATTCCTCTGCTGTGCCTTAGAATGCAAGTTGATACTTAAGTAACTATACTGTATTGGAAGATTGTCTACAGAATGTTTGGCTGTTATGGTAAGTAGAGTGAATAAATGCCCACAGATAAAAAAGTGGATCTCCAAATAGGCAAAGAAAAATAAATTTGTGTGGTTACAGTACTCATATCTGCTTCAGTTGATTGACTCTTAAGAGCTTTTAGGTACTAACAATATGATTTACATTGTTGCTAGTGTATCTCTTAGAACTAACCAAAAATGGGCCCAAAACAGAACATGGATTTTTAAAACATTTGGTCCTTACAGAATTTTCTCAGAACAAATTTATGGCTCTAATTTTATCAGAAAGGAAAAAAAATGATTCTAATGTACCATCAATATGTAAAATCATGAAATGGAAATTGTAATTGTGTAAAATGGGTCTTGGTAATTTAGAGTACACTTTCGGACTATAAAGCCCCTTTTAAGCTAGGTATCTGCCTCGTATAACATAGTCCACAATTTTGCTGATGAAAAACTTTATAGTCTGAAACATGCAAAGTTTAATCTAAATTACCTTTTACACATATTAAACAATTGCTATTGCCATCTTAGAGTATAAAATCCTAATTTTATCTTGTCATTTTATTTCCCAGCCTGACAATTATTTCAATGCAAACTGCTCCTTCTGGAACTACTCAGAGAGAACTATGATGGGATATTGGTCTACCCAGGGCTGCAAGCTGGTTGACACTAATAAAACTCGAACAACGTGTTCATGCAGCCACCTAACCAATTTTGCAATTCTCATGGCCCACAGGGAAATTGCAGTAAGTATTTGCACTTCTAATTAGTAGCAGAGAGAAACCTCAGAGATTCAAAACAGCTTGTATAACAGTCCCGTTCTTTGGGTGCTTATCGTAACTAAAAAGCAAACAAAGTAATGTTGATTTCTTTTTTTTTTTTTTTTTTTTTTTTTTTTTTGAGACGGAGTCTCGCTCTGTCACCCAGGCTGGAGTGCAGTGGCCGGATCTCAGCTCACTGCAAGCTCCGCCTCCCGGGTTCACGCCATTCTCCTGCCTCAGCCTCCCGAGTAGCTGGGACTACAGGCGCCCGCCACCTCACCCGGCTAGTTTTTTTGTATTTTTTAGTAGAGACGGGGTTTCACCGGTTTAGCCAGGATGGTCTCGATCTTCTGACCTTGTGATCCGCCCGTCTCGGCCTCCCAAAGTGCTGGGATTACAGGCTTGAGCCACCGCGCCCGGCCTAGTAATGTTGATTTCTAATTGTTTCTACACTGTCCATAAATTTTAAGAAGTCTTGGCACTGTTATTGTTACTTCTCAAAATCATATGCTGTAACTTTGTAGACTTGTAAGTTTTCCTCCTTGGGGCAGGTGCTTGGTAGAGGCAACAGATTTAAATAATGAGCAGCAGTAGGTCATACAAAAGAGACAAAAGGCTCTGGAGTTTAACATGCCCTTCCCATCTTGAATGTTTGAATCTAATTTTACAACTTTTGCTTTAAGTTTCCTAACCACTTTGCACATTGTGCAAAGCTGCGTCTTTTGAAAAGTCAAAATGGCTTCTGGAATATGTCTCAAGGTTCTTTCTTGTGATTAAGAGAATGATAGCCAGAAGACAGAAATATTTTAAGAAGTGTAGCATTTCGGTCTCAGATCTGTTGTGTGTGTCAACTCTAAATATGTAAGCATACAAAACCCCAAGGAGAAAATAAAAACTTAAAACTTGGCTTATGTGTTAGTTTGGAAAAATCATTAAAATGTCAATTGTTTTTTAGCATGAATAAGTATTCTTTATTCTGTCATGTAAATAGTCTCCATGTTTATGTAGTTAATTCAGCCATACTTTGAAATCATTAGGCTCTTTTACAGTTTTCTAGGTAAAATCTTCCTCTCTCATAGATCACTTTTTTAAGTATAAAAGGCAGTAACATTGAATGCTATTATACAATTAAAATTTATTTTTGGTATTGAGCCTTTTTTGAACACATATGAATGGTATTCTTCAAAGAGTTCAGTAGTAAAAGATGAACTGTACATGTGAAAGTGGTCTTTCTTCTAGTTGATGTAATGCAGGAATACTAATGTTCCTCATATCTTTTTATTTTCAGTATAAAGATGGAGTTCATGAATTACTTCTTACAGTCATCACCTGGGTGGGAATTGTCATTTCCCTTGTTTGCCTGGCTATCTGCATCTTCACCTTTTGCTTTTTCCGTGGCCTACAGAGCGACCGAAATACTATTCACAAGAACCTTTGTATCAACCTTTTCATTGCTGAATTTATTTTCCTAATAGGCATTGATAAGACAAAATATGCGGTAAGCACCAGTTGAGTTAATTGACCTTAGATCTCTGAAAATTATTTTATTAGGTGTGAGGTGACATATGATACTGATATTAATGTTTGACCTTGTAACTTGATACAATTGATAGGGCAATATTAAAAGACAATTTGTAGTAAATTAAAAGACTGCCCAATTATTAAGTAATATTATGAATTAATTCATTTTGTATATTAAGATACAGTCGAATTTTTCTGTGTTTTTGTTAAGACATATAATTTTAATAGAAGAATGCTAGGGATACAGAAATACAAAGATCCTATTTTAAAAATTCTTATTTTGCTTACATAGTCATTCTGACCAATGATCCTTTCTTTGTATTCAGGGCAATTTATTCATCATCATGAGTTCTTAATATCAGAAAGAGAACTTAATTAGTTAATGCTTCACCCTATATTCATCTGCACTTAGATAATTTAAGAATGCTCCAGATATGACAGGAAAATAATCTTAGGTAATTAGAGCTAGGATTTTGTCATTAGAGCAAACTTTTAAAATTCCATTATAGAAAAAAAAAAGAAATAATATATTTGCAAACAACACTTCTAAAGACTTGTGAAGCAAATAATCTACAAGTGGAATATTCAGATTTCATAACATAATTCACAAATTATGAAGTTTTCTTATTTGATATTTAATCTCACTAAAAAATGTTATAGTAATATTCTACCTTGAAACCTAGTACACTTGGCGTTATACTCTGTGAACATGATAATCTCCAGATTTGGCAGGGTTTTTAGCTTGTTTCCACTTATGAAAAAAATATTTTGAGGAAGCATTAGGTTACTCTGAATAATGTATTTTTGAAATAATAGCGATTTCTCTTAGTGAGTATTTTATAGTTTTGGAGTGGGCTGTTTTTATTTATGAGTGTTCTTTTGTGTTTTTTGTTCTTTTCCTCTGTAGATTGCATGCCCAATATTTGCAGGACTTCTACACTTTTTCTTTTTGGCAGCTTTTGCTTGGATGTGCCTAGAAGGTGTGCAGCTATATCTAATGTTAGTTGAAGTTTTTGAAAGTGAATATTCAAGGAAAAAATATTACTATGTTGCTGGTTACTTGTTTCCTGCCACAGTGGTTGGAGTTTCAGCTGCTATTGACTATAAGAGCTATGGAACAGAAAAAGCGTAAGTAATTGCAAGCGACCTGAGTGTTTTTCAAGTGAATAATTTTTTAAAGCCTGTTAGCTGTCAGTGAGGGTCCCTGACAGATTAAAATAGCATCTGAAAGCTTTATTGGTAAGAGAATGAGCATACCGTGCACAAATTACAATCAAGTCTTTTGTAATTTTCTGGGTTCAGAGGATTTGTACTCTGGCAAAGCAGATTCTAAATTATGGACTTTCTTTTTAACACAAAAGATTGACCTGAAACAAATTGAAAAAGTAAATAACTTTTTGGCCTTAGAAAGATATTAAGTAAAAATTCTTCTGAACTTAAAGCATCTGACAGGTTTAACTACTCAGTGTTAAGCTAATGCTTCATTAGCTCTCTTTGTGCAGCCAGCCCTCTAGCTAACTCTCATTCTGAATTGTGACAGTAGCACATTCCATCCCATATGTTTTACTTTGATAATATTTTATCAGGCAGTTTGAAAGGATTAAAATAAGTCACTGTCTTTCGTTTATACAAGTATAGATATTTACAGAAAGTGACAGAAGGTAGACATAGTCATGTTTCTAAGGATTTTATTTGCTAGAGGCATGAATTTGCCTTCCAATTCTGTTTATTTTTTCCTTTGATAAAATTAGTTATATAAAGATTCTTTGGACTAAAGAAAGCTTTTTGACTGTACAGATGATGAAAGACAAATAAAAGAAATTCAGTGGGGATTCCATGTTATATGAAAAATGAACCACTAAGTAAAATCTGTCTTAATAAGTTTATGCATCATTTACTCTAATACTGTGTGAGTTCTGTGCTTTGATTTCCTTTTCTAGTATTTATCCATTCCTAGTGGAGGTGTTACATTTCTGCTATACTGTTTTGCAACAAACATAACATCTGAACAGTTTTGGGGGGGTCTGTTATGTTCCATAGGGTTGAGCACTTTAGCTCTGACAGATCTGAAAGGCAAATTTTGAAAATTATATGTAGGACTTTAAAATGATGAGACAATTTGTAATACTGAGTTTCAAGTCTTTCTTAGAGAAATCTGAAGTCTTAAGGATTCAGTGGTGGAGTGGTGTTTATTGTTTTCCCCATACAAGCACGATTTTGTATGCTTTTATCAAATACGAAACCAGCAGGTCAAAGTAAATAAATTACTATCCTTTGTTAAGTCAAAGCCAACTCAGAATTATTAGAGGTCTTGCACATGATAAATGAATTTTCAAAGGCAAATGTAAAGTTAGTTTTGTTAGGTTTTTAAAATCCTATTTTCCTTGTAATGGTGAGGTTCCATAGAAACTACTAATGCATATTCTTTTCTTTTCATAATAGTTGCTGGCTTCATGTTGATAACTACTTTATATGGAGCTTCATTGGACCTGTTACTTTCATTATTCTGGTAAGCAGATTCTGTTTTCCCTTGCTTTTTAGCTTGCTGCTTTAGCAGTGCTATTCAAACAAGGATAATTTGTTTTATTGTTTTTTTATCTATCTATACAAAGATTTACAAATATGCCTGTCTCACAGGATAATAGTATATTTTAAATATTTTTTATATACTTGCTAATTAATATTTCTGAAAATCTTTAAGAAGTACTTTTTCTCATTTCTAATTTAATAAGCTAAAATATCACATCATAATCTAAAAAATATACTTACATATGGGCCATGTTATAAATAAATATGTCAGGAAAGTGAAAGAACATTACCTTAATTTTTATTATCTTAGTTTCCACATAGTAATTTAATAGTTTTAAATGAATGTCCACATCCTCAATTCTTTTTAGTGTATAAAAAGTTGTTTAATCTTGCATTAACGAATGACTATTAAATCAACTTAAAATGTATTAGAAATAAAATTACTTCTATAAGACTGAAGATACCAAATGAAAATACTAGTTTAAGAAATACTATTTTTAAATGAATTTGATACAAGCAAAGGATAATGACATTAAACTATTTTTAAATGTCTTACATTACCCTTAGTCACATTTGAAATATAGTTGAAATAAAGGATTGTAGCTACAGTATCTAGACTTTGGTATTTAAAACTTTCACTCAGGGCTGGGCATGGTGGCTCGCACCTATAATCCCAGTATTTTGGGAAGCTGAGGCGGGAGGATCACTTGAGGCTAGCCTGGGTGACATAGCAAGACCTCCTCTCTACAATATGCTTTTAAATTACTTCGGTGTAGAGGCACATGCCTGTAGTCCCAGCTACTCAGGAGGCAGAGGCACAAGGATCTTTTGTGCCCAGGAGCACAAGACTGCAGTAAGCTATGATTGCACCACTGCACCCCAGCCTGGGCAACAGAGCGAGACCCTGTCTTTAAAAAAAAAAAAAAAATTGCTCAGTTGTAGCAGTATGGTGATAGAAATGGTGTTATTAACTCTGAAAAGGAAACATAAATACTTCCTATTTTAAGGAGTTTTTCTTTTTTTTTTTTTTTTCCAAAAACGTAACGCAAATGAGCTCCTTTGGATCTTTTCGTGGTTAAGCAGTGTTTCATAAAATTGAGAAAAACCTTCAGTAGTTGAAGGAAACTTAAAACTACTTCAAGTGTGTATTTGTCATTAAATTAATTATTTTGCACAAATACATAGTGAAGTGAAAATTTGAGATGAATGCCTGTATGAATTAAACCAGTAAAACATTCTCAAGTATTCCTCAGAAAGCTGATTTATCATCAGAATTATTAAATCTGATGATTACCCAAGTTTTTATTCTTGGTGTTCATATGTTAACACAGCCTAAGCCTATCTAGAGTTAAATGGCTGACATGAAGAGGCATGATCCTTGAAGACATAACGTTTCATTTTCCCCTAAGACCTTCGTCAAAGACATATGTTGAAAAATATAAAGACTGCTTTAGGGATGTTTGGCCTATGAGGCTATCATGTGTTTACTTCTTTTATACTGTAGTTTTATTTATTTGATATCTGTGAAGATAAGTACTGACTTTAGATCATTAAAAAACATTTCACTTAGCAAAATACTCAGCTTTTAGTAAGAAAAAAGGTTAAGGACATTTTATTATGTTATTCATTTATAGTAGAGCACATTATTGCTTTGTAAGTCTTGTCATTATTTTCCTCTACCAAATCCTTCAGGTTGAGATGTGAAGGGCCTGTTCAAGAGCATTCTCAACTTAAAAACAAACAAAAACCCCAGTAGTTAGCAATCCCAGTACAGTTCTTGTTGGAATTCTCTTGCAATTGTTTTGCTGTCTAATTTTCCCAACAGAGAGCGATTAAGAGTGGTATAGGAATACAAAACAGCGTCTTGCAAAAGAGTATCTAACTTAAATTGAGATATGATATGATTATACAGTGTGTGTGGGGAAAAAAAAAAAAGAATATATATATATATATATATGTCTCCCTCTCGTGATGATAAGGTATTTAAAACTCAATTCTCATACAAATCTTAATATAGATTGTATTTAAGGAATATTCTCATAACAAAAATTACATATTGCTGTTCCTAGAAAGTATAGCTTTGCATTTTCAATTTTTCTGAATTGAAACTGTTTCACTTAGTTGTATTAAATAGGTGTACATTCTAAATAATAATCTATGAAGAAAAATAATATGCTAAGGAAAATAAAACTTCCTACTTCTGCATTTCTATAGAATATCTTGCCTACAGGCACCAGAGTTATTATATCTATGAGAAAAGTGCTGGTAAGTAATGAGCAGTGGGAAACCATTAGTATGCCTGAAATGGTTTAATGAAAGCTTGGATCATGACACGTCAGGAGCTGTTCTTATCATTTGGACAGCTCCATCTGCATCGTTAATAATTAATTCAGTTCAGTAAGAGTTCAGCTCACACACTCATTTAGAAGTCTTCTTCAGAGAACACCTCTCTGGCTGCTAGTCCCAGGGAGAAATAGGTTTCTGCTTGGCTAACAGCAAAGATCTGGTGATACAAGTATAGCTTTAGAGCTGCATTTGCCAGGTAGCAAAAGCTCCAGGGAGGACAAAAAGGGTCAGAACATGTGCAGTTCAGCTAGGTTACTTCAGAGTGATGTTTCTGTTCTTCTGTCTTATCATATCCATGTCAGCACTGCAAGCTGTGGAATGAATTTTAAGCTGCTAAGCTCAGACGGATGTGATTCAATTGAGCAGGTTGATGACCGTAAAACAAACTGTGCACTCCTATAATCTGTGGTACCTTTTTCTTTTTTTAAACTACTTTGTATTTTTATGTGCATCAATATGGATGATGTTTAGCTGTGCTATATCATTAAGCAGTGTTAAATTTTATCAGCAAATTATATTGGCAGATTATTATAAATAATAATTTATGAAATTATTATTTGGGGATAGGTAAAAGAATGATCTTTGTCAGTGGGAGAGAAAAAAATGTCCCAGTTTGATGACTTACTCTTTTTGACTGAATAAGGGATTTTTTTTTTCTCAATTTGCTCTCACTCAACAGAGATTTCTCTTAAGAGATAGTCATCTGTTTACTTGTACACACACACCTGCCCACACACAAGGCACACACACACACGCCAGAGCTAAGCTAAAATCTGGTTAATTCTTGAATGAGTTGTTTCATCTCCAGAATTAATTATTAGCATGGACATTTAGCCTAGTGGGTTGTCGTACATATGTACCACAAACCTAATAGCCTATACTTACTTATAGTGGCTTCTTTGTGGATAATTGAGTAACTGCATGTACTTACCAAGTTTAAACAAATGTTTGTGTGCGCAGCTGTAACTCCACCTTTTTCCTTTCTCACTGATGCATGGAGCCTTTCACCCTATGCCAAAATACTATGTTTAAACTTCGTACTATTTACACTGAAAAGAAAAAACAAAGAGCAAGAAGGTCAAAGAGTGGCTGCATTGGAATTCAAGGGAGAAGAACAGCAATTGGATGGTAGAGACATTGTTCTCTCCCTCCCTCCTTGCCTGCCTTCCACTGAGAAATAGGGGAAATACCATGTTTGACTATTGTGATTGATTTTGTAAATGTATATCAATGGCAGAAAAATAAATTGAGCAAAAGTAAAAGTAAGAAGGAGAAAGAAATCACTTCTTATAACCAGCGGGAGCTGGGTGTGGGGAAGCACAGAAGTATATGGCTGGAAAGAGAAAAATGCAAGGAAGAAAGGAATTCAGATTTGCAGCCAGTAGTTTATTTGAAACCTACCTTTTTTGTCTTAAAATGACTACAGATTTTTCTCAAAGATGTGTTTATTAAGCCGGGCGCGGTGGCTCACGCCTGTAATCCCAGCACTTTGGGAGGCGGAGGCGGGCGGATCACGAGGTCAGGAGATCGAGATCACAGTGAAACCCCGTCTCTACTAAAAATACAAAAAGTTAGCCGGGCGCGGTGGTGGGCGCCTGTAGTCCCAGCTACTCGGGAGGCTGAGCCAGGAGAATGGCGTGAACCCGGGAGGTGGAGCTTGCAGTGAGCCGAGGTCGCGCCACTGCACTCCAGCCTGGGCGACAGAACTAGATTCCGTCTCAAAAAAAAAAAAAAGATGTGTTTATTTGCCCGTCTACCTCTTATTCTCATTTCCACAGTTGTATTTTAAGAAAACGAGAAAGAAGAAAGGGGAAAAAATTTTCGAAATAGTTTTCCCTGCAAAATTTTGTTTATCAGAATGTATTGTCTCCTGAAAGGCAGTGACAATATTTATTCTGTCAAACTAAAATTTAGCATTACTTTTTTTAACATTGGAGAAAATAAGATAACTGTAAAACCACATTTTTAAAAATGTACCTATGCTTCAGTATATATTCTATTTAATTCCAGAAGATATTTTATTGTCATATATGTTGGTGGTAGCATAAATTGTTAGGCATCTAAATGATATAAAAGTTTTTATATTTCTCTAATAAGACTAGTAATACGTATTGGTGAATTTTTTTTATTGAGTTGGGAAAAAGAAAAATCTTATTTAGCATTTTTTGCCATCTTATGGTTTACAGTATGTCATATGCTTTATTTCATAATTAATTTGTCTTGAAATGATGGTATTTTGTCCTCTTCCACGTACCATTGCCTCATTATTTGTATGCCTTCAAGTCGTGTTTCAGAGGCTAAGTTAGTGTTGGATTTAACTATTTTACATCTAGATATGAGTGCATTAGCTAAAAGTTTTATTTTCAGTTTCTTCAAGTTGGAGAATTCAGACACTTGTAATTTGAGTGCAAAAATTCCTCAGTTATGATTATTTTTCTAATGCTTTTAGTTGTTTTTAAAGAAACTCACTTTCAAGTCTTCTAAAACATTCCATTTTAAGTATGTTAGAAACAGCTTTTAAAAATTTCATTCTTATATTTGCACTTAGATTCATGAGCTTATGTGATATTTAGCTATGTAAAAGTATAAATGACATAAACAGGTTTGGAAAAAATAAACTAACTGTTACTAAGCATGCAACTTGACTAGTGGGAGTAGAAGTGTGGGTGTTTTGGCCAGTTGCTGATTGTGGGATGGTAGTGTTTTACAAAGGAGATGGAGAATTGGTTAACTCTGGCAAATCCATCAGGCAGAAGTCATTTGATGAGCATACCTATTATGTAAATAACATAAATAGGATTTCTTTGAGGCAGTATTTTATATGTTAATTTATTTATCTTCAATTCATTCATCTCTGAATGATTTTTAAGTTGGATTACTTTTTATAGAGATGGAACCTTTTAAATATAGATTTAGTATATCTTTGTTAGGAGACTTCTAATCTTTTCACCCAGAATAAATTGGTTAATTTTATATGGGAAGTCTGTGGGCTGTAGAGTCCAGACCACAGTATATTGAATCCCAGCACTGGCAATATAGTAGCTAAGAAGTCTTTGGAAAGATACATCTCAATTATTTCTAAAATGAGTGTACAAGTGCTGCCTGCTGCCACTGGATATAGGATTGTAGCTGTATTTTTCCTCTGTAATTTTCTTTATTTTCTCAATTTGCATTGTGAATGTATTGTATGTGTAACTAGAAAGACACATTAAACACATGTAATGTAAAAACCTCAGTTAAGTGAGGGGAGCAAAAGAGGAGAAATGTATTGAACAGTCTGTTTTTAAAGGATTAATTGAGATAAGTTTTGTATGGCATATTCTCACCTTGGTTAGTATTATTAACTAGGAAAAATGACTTTATCATACTTAAGCCTTAATTGTATTTTTTATTGGTAGATTTCATTTTAGTATGTCAGTTTCACTGGAAAGTTGTCCCTGATTTCTGCCATTGAAAAATATTTCTTCTGAGTTGACTTCCAAGATTTTATCATTTTCTACTCTTCTTTTTGCAATATAATACTTTATATGTTCACATTTTTCCACATTCACATTTTTTAGTTTCCTTATAAATTTTATACATTGTAGTGAATAATGAATAACTTTCTTTCCAGAATGTTTAGTACTACTACTATTTTGTTCCCAAGGGGATAACTAATATGCTTAGAAAATTATGAACACCAAATTTTGGTCCTATACACTTCAGGAAATTGTTTAAGAAGAGGAAGGAAAAAAACCCTTATGTTCATAAGTTTGGGATAAAAGAAAGCAAATTGTTCTTATCAGGCCATTCAAAAACAAAGGATCAGAAACAAAGGGAGAACGATTTAAAGGATTTTAATTGTGAATCTGCAAAGCAGCCATCTTACCTATTATAGTCAGTTTATGTGTTTACTTGGGTTTTGGTTTCTTTTTTTTTTTTTTTTTTTTACAACGTTTATAGAGTTTTTGTTTTTAACCTTTTTTGAATTTTACTAGTTAAAGCTAGTGTTGCATAAAATTAAAATAAAAAAAAAAACCTCTTGATTTTTGCCTTAAAAAAAAATTAGAGATACACTTTGCCATGATTCTTTAAAACCCTAATAAGATATTTACTACTATACTACCAGAAGGATCTCTCTAATTTCTCAAAGGCGGAAATTGTGTCTTACTCATTCACAATACAATAAGCACATCCTTTTATGGAACAAGAATGAAATGTATCATATTGTAACATATCCAAAAAATTCAAGCATTTATTTATATTGTGACCAACTAAAATGTTATGGAAAATAAAGCCAGATAATGTTTCTACAATTGTATTTACTTTCTCTCTAGATGTATTTTAAGAAATTAAAAAAAAAAATTTGTTTTAAACAAATGTTTTTGTCCTTAAGTAATTAACATCAAAGGACAGAATGTTACCTGCCAACACTTGTAAAATTTTGCCCAATTACCTCATTTTATCCCTTAAGAAGGAATTCTCCATCTAATTGAAATCATAGGGCACAGTGGACAAAATAACTTGATAGATACATAGCCTACATTAAAGCTTTTCTTAGCACTGCTTCTAAACTCATCATGGGGAAGGACTTGGAATTTTTTATTTATTGCCCTTTATCACTTTTCCTAATTATAAAATCAGAAGTAGTGAATGATGAATAGTGTTACCATTTGATCATGTGATATTGTGACTCAGTAAAAATGATCATGTTACTGTAACACAGTTATGCTGATTATCTGCAACAAGGAATTAAATTCATCTTTACCTATAAAGAAATGGTAAAATGGGTCCTTTTCTGAATATACTATTTCTGGTATTAAGTCATATAAAGCCCACAAAATAACTTTTTTTTTTTCCTTTTAAAAAGTAATCTAAAAATAAAATGGCAAAAAAATCCAGGAACAATGTAATTTAGTTCTATTTTTGGAGCATAAAAATGGAACTGCCTCCTCTTCTTCCAACGTTCTTCCAAGTGTCTGTAGAAACAAATGCAAATTACCAACCTTTGTCTCTTAATCAAAACACAGCTCCTTTTCCTCTGAGCAAGCTCAGGTTGACCTCTTGGAATCCACTCACTTTCCTTCTTGTCAGATTACATCTTCCTCATTTTGCTTTTGTTTGCACCTAGATTCTTTGCATAGCTGAATGTTTAGAAGGACTCAAAACAGCCTTTTGACAGAATGTATCTACTTCCTTACACTACAGAGACATAGAAAAAAAGGACTGATGGCTTTTAACAGTTAAATGGCAAAACATACCTATATAAACGTTATCTTACTTTATTATAACAAACATTTATCATATGTTATTTCATTTGGTCCCCACAATTGCCTTATGAATAGATCGGACAGATGTGATTATCCCCGTTTAATCAGTCAAAATCAAGAGCTAGACTCACAACCAAGACTTATGGTTCCAAACCCAGCAATTTTGTAGATTACATGATGTACATGATGTAAATGCTCCTTCTAAGGAATTCACTTTAGTGTTTCCGTCAGATGGCTTTTAGGCCCTGGAGTACATCTAGCTAAAGAAACTAATTTAGGTTTTCTAATTTATTTAATCATTACCACGTAATACTGACTTAATGAGGTTGCAATTTGATGTCAAATGATCTATTAAAGAATTGATCATATATAGCCAGAGTGTTTTTTATGTAGACTCAACTTGATCATTGCATACATAAAAAAATTGTATCAGTATCTGCCATATAAACATGGATTGATACATTTGCAAGAACTATTCGTTTTTCAGCTGTTTGTGCATTGTGGTCTAATTCTTTGTTTGTTACAACAGCTAAATATTGTCTTCCTGGTGATCACATTATGCAAAATGGTGAAGCATTCAAACACTTTGAAACCAGATTCTAGCAGGTTGGAAAACATTAAGTAAGTATTTTGTATTTTAATTTTAATACTTGGCAAACTAAGTAAAAGATACTCTCCACAGGGAACACAGGGATTTCTACCTTCTGTCAACTGTAGAAATTATTCAAAATGAAGTCTTACTGCCCTCGAGTTGAATCTCAGTGTTACTGTATCACCAACACTGGTCAAAGATTAGATAATAAAATTGCTGTCTTGATCTAGAACCATAAATTGTTTCAGTGGCTTCATGTAAATTCCATATCATTGTAGCAATTTCATTTGAATTTAAAATGCAGTTCAAAATGATTTTCCTATTTGCATGGCTGATATGATTATATTAAGTTTGTTTTGTTAAATGACTTTTTGCTTTAAGGATTCTGAGCAGTTTCCACTCCTAATCCTGTTTTCCTAAGAGAATTTACTCTATTACTATTGTTAACTTGAAGATTATCTGTTGTTTTCATGCTAATTAAACAAATATTTACCCTATCTTAATGTTGAATAAAAGCTGCAATATTCTGTCAATGGAGAAAATGCTATCTAATTAACAAAAAATGATAGCTGTTGTTCATTAAATCATCTTCTGGAAACATTTTCAGAGTTACCTTTAAAATATGTGAGCCTTTTAATTTAGAACTTGAGAAGGTATTATTCAAGTTGGTTATAATGTGATTGTAAAAAATACTATTTTTAGTGTCAAAAATGGCAGATCTATAGTAAGGGTAAAATTTTTTTTTTATTTAGATGTTTTAGATAGGTTAGTGCCAGCTTCATTGCATGTTGCATGGTAAGAGAGAGAGCTAATCTTTAGCATCTCTCTCTTTTCTTCCTTTTCCTCTTTCTGTCTTCTCATCTACACCAGTAATTACCGTGTTTGTGATGGCTACTATAATACGGACTTACCTGGGTAAGGTAGAACCCTACATTAACAAATTTATAGCATGATTTATATTTTTTACAAATCCGTCAATATCATGAACTGCCCTTAACTTTTATAATTATTTTGAAATATCTAATTTGCTATAGTATTTTAAAACTATAATATGCCTTTATTTTTTAATTGCTTGCCTCTGCATTTTGACTTTCTTAATTTTGACTAATTTATAAAATATATAAATGCTTTCTTATTACTTTCTATTTTAATTCTGTCTAATAATTTTGTTTCTCTTTTCTGCTTATAATGCTTTCTAGCTATGAAGATAATAAGCCATTTATCAAGTAAGATCATTAGTTAGACATGGAATGCACTGACTTTAAATCCTTCTCATTCCGTCCTATTTCCTACAGTTCTTTTTTTAAGCTATTCATGATGAAATCTCTCCAAAATTATTTTATTTTGAAGTTGTTCTCATGTTTTTGTCCCATTTCAGCTAGGCTTCTTCATGCTTTAGTTATAAAACCTTAGGTTCACCTAAGACTAGTTTATTAGAATCCGAAGTTTAGGTGTTAAGTGATTATCTGCCATTTAACCTTTCTGTATGTGTCACATTATTCAGCGTCATGTGAGTATACCACAGGAATAAAAATACAGAAGTAAATTAATTAAGCACTCCTTAATTTCTTTTATGAAAATGCACATAAAAGACAAAGTCATAGGGGATATATTACACCTTGTATTTTAATATAGTTTTGATACTTTGTTTATTTTGGAATAAGAAAAGGTCATACCTGCTGTTGCTGTTTTCACTGGAGGCTGCAGTACTAAATGCTATTGTTCTTTCTTAATCAGTGAAAGGTTAAAGCCAAAATGCTGTTGAATTTGAATGTGAACATAGAGAAAGTCAACTGCCACTACTAATATGTTAACATTTAAGCGTGATGCATGTTTTTTGCTCATTGAACCTGTTAAAAAAAGTTCACTTTATTTTTCCAGGTCTTGGGTGCTTGGCGCTTTTGCTCTTCTGTGTCTTCTTGGCCTCACCTGGTCATTTGGGTTGCTTTTTATTAACGAGGAGACTGTTGTGATGGCATATCTCTTCACCATATTTAATGCTTTCCAGGGAGTGTTCATTTTCATCTTTCACTGTGCTCTCCAAAAGAAAGTAAGTAATTGAAAACATCTAGGGGCTCAGATTACTCATTCTTTGATTTGAATATAATAGATATAATAAAGAATATTTTAAGTCACATCTGGCATATTGTTAAAGAGCATCATATTTTTAATTATAAGTTAATTTTAATACCTGTCTGAAAATTTAGGTTCATCTATAAAATAATACCAGTCATCTTTTGTATCTCAGTTCGGGAATGTTACAAACTAGATACTTAGGTTAAGATATCTTCCTTGCTTGTAGGGTCTATAAAATGCTAGGTACAAAGGGTATACAAGGTAAAAGAAAAGGTTAAATAAAACTCATTCTTTGTTTGCTAAAGGTATTGCAGTGGCTCACACTGAAGTTGAGTAAAGGATAAATGATGTTAATTTTTAAAGCACCAGACATACGAAAAATTAATGTTACCTTTTGAGTAATTTTGAAGGATCTAAAAATCAATAATTACTACCTTACGTTGTACTGTTTTGTCCTGATTTTATGTTAAGTGGAGTCAGCAAAAATGATTCAAAACTTACAGATGAAAAGTTTTAATCTGTAGCAAGAAGACGTAAACCGAAGGGAATTGCTTAGGTGCTATTTAAGTATAAAATTTCCATACCTTTCACTAGGTATCATCCTTTTTCTGACTTCATATCTAATGTAGTCGTTTTATTCTGTTATTACTAGTTGGTCACTAAATTGAACAGAGAAATAGAATTGTGAAAGTGAAAACTATTGTGTTTTCAGTCCTGACAAGATGATAGTGTTGTTACTTCCCTCAGTTTTGAATAAGCTATAATTTTGAGATAATGACAGTGGAATGTGCAATACTGACAGATAATGTACATTCACAGCAATATAGGCATTAGGCAAAACCAACACTGGAAGGTATTATTTGGATAAAATACCATTTTGATTGCCATTGTCTTGGTTATGCAGCATTTCATAGCAGTTAACACCCATTAAATGTGTTGAAATTTTTTGTGAGGTATGATGTGTTATTTAATAACAATGAACTTTAACTTATAAACATTGTACAGGGGTAACATTAGTAATTACTTTGGCTTTTATATATTTCCTACATAAGTGAGCATTTTATATACAGGCATATTATTGTATATTCATAATTTTTGTGCTGTTATGCCAAGCATCTTTGACACGAAGCATAGACATAGCGGAAAACGAGTGAGGTAGTCATTATTTCTTCATATATGAGGAAAAGAAGTATAACTTAGTCTCGGATACATCCACTTGGGTGCACCAGGATTAGCTGTTAAGAATATGATATAAAATGGTTAAGTTAAAATCATGGTTATAACTGCTTGAATGAGCATATTTAGGCCAAGAAAATGCTTTGAAGCCTCAACCACCTTGTTATTTGTTCTAATAGGTTAATTAAATAAAGCTAAAAAGATGAAAATGCAAGTGCACGTAGATTTAAATGCCGTCTACTGATTTTTAATTTTCTAATTTTGCAAGCAGTGAGTGTCAAAGTCATGGTCTTTACAGGCAGTTACTGCACATAAACTTCTGAGTTGAGGGAAAGCCTTTGAGTGTTTTTGTAACCTATTAGAAAAAATGTTTTCTTATGCAGTTTCTTCTTGTCTGTCTTGTAATTTCACAGTCTGGCTCTAACCCACAAGAAAACATGTATATGCCAGTATAGCTGCAGTAGTCCAACAGCACCCTCTCCCTCTTTACTTAATTCTGTACCACTGCTTTAGATGGGGCCCTATTATTTAGCAGTTGTTCGGACTTCACTTTTTAAAGTTTAGTTGAAACTTTTTTTAGACCTAACAACTTTTTTTTTTTTTTGCATTCATATATTCAAGCTTCAGGGGAAAAGGGGAAATTACATGGGTAACTCATTAATGTGAATGGAAATTGCATAAATAGTTCCCTTGTGTGCTAATGAAGTGAATAGACATCTTAGACTCTCTACACTGAATGTTAAAGCTAGACACATCAGAAAATGAAGAAAATGTTCTGTCCTAATTAGTGGCAAATGTATCAAAGTACTTGTTTTCTTTATTCTTGTGCCAAAGTAGTCTTGTCATTATAAAGAGGTTACCCGCAAAACCATGCAAAAGAGGTTTCTGTGTTGACCTACCTAAGAGGACACGAAGCATATTCAACAACTGAATTACAGAGTGGTTAAATGTCATTAAGCAAGGAAAATGCTAAACTTTTTGTCCCGGTTTTTTTAGCATAAAATAAAAAATTGGAGTTACTAAGTATAAGAGAATAAAACTATAAATATATTGCTATTATTTAATAGCTAACATTTATATTATAACAGGATATAGAGTATTTCTTCATGTTGTATCACATTTTAAAGATTCTACTAGCCAGTCTAGTGGACAGAGATATTTTTCTGATTACTATTTCAGTAATTTTAATTGAACTTGATTTTGCAAGTTCAATTTATTTTCTCCACGGATAAGTCTTAGTGGAACTTTTAATTCTTTTCGGTTGTCTTCACTGTTCATTTAATTAGAGAGAGAGAAGCAAGTATGTTCATATTAATCCCTTGGTCTCGTGATTATTCAATGCAGGTACGAAAAGAATATGGCAAGTGCTTCAGACATTCATACTGCTGTGGAGGCCTCCCAACTGAGAGTCCCCACAGTTCAGTGAAGGCATCAACCACCAGAACCAGTGCTCGGTATTCCTCTGGCACACAGGTAACAAAGAGTTTGACAGCATCTTTAATTAACCGTATTTATAGAAAGCCTACTGAGACATGTTCTGTTCAGATGCACTAATTGTCTCCTCATTATAATGATCTAGATAGCAAATACTTGCTTTTTTAGTATTTTGGTTTTAATGTCTTCTTAAACATTTCTTCAGTGTTTCTTTATATGTGAACATCCTTTTTTGTGGAGAGTTACTTAAGAAGTATATCATAATCGTCTTATAGCCTAAGGCCGTATAGCACAGTGCTCATAGAAGGCACTCAATAAACGTATATTGAATAATCAGTGATCTCCACTTTTTAAAAAAAAGACAATAAAATAACATGTTTTTAAGAGTGGAGGATTAAATATCCCTTAGTTGCTTAGTAAATAAACAATAGACATTGTTAGTTTTAGACCAGAAACAACACACATTCTTTAAAAGGCCACCAGATAATCCTACATAGGTTGTTTAGGGTAAATCTCTGTATGTCTTTAATAAGGTAAGCTTGGGGAAACTAACAAAACACGTTTGTCTCGCTGTTTTGTATTAATAGAGTCGTATAAGAAGAATGTGGAATGATACTGTGAGAAAACAGTCTGAATCTTCTTTTATCTCAGGTGACATCAATAGCACTTCAACACTTAATCAAGGTCAGTTATCAGGAAAATTTGAATTATTACCATTTATTAAAGTACATATAAATTCCTTTTATTCAATAATATAATGCAAGAAATATAATTTTAAACTGCATTAACAGGATGCGGCTTGAAGGTAATTATTGAAAATATACCTTGCCACAGATTAAAAATATTATCCTAGGGAGTACAGATTTATTCTTTCTGACCAAGACATTTATGAAGGTTTTCTTCATAAAACATTAATAAAATTAGAATAATTACTATTCACATGAAACAGTACCATGGAAATTATGTTTTTAATCTTTCTTTCAAAAAGTGAAAAATAAATGCTAAAATCATTTGTAGAAATCTTCATAAACAAAAATACATGAAAGTTTATAAGCAACTTTTTCTATATTGTTTGATGTGTCTACAGTGGCAGCTTTAAATTCATCAATCAATACAGTTCTTAAAATATGCTAGGAAATGAAGTAATTTAGAAAAGAGTATATGCACACACATGTATTCTTGAATAAAAGCTTAATACATTCCAATTTAGTATGAAAAATTATATGGTATTGTATATATCCTTGGAAGGATAATTTAATCACGCTATTTTCAGTTTGATATGTACTGATTTGTAATACAGGTTAGAATTTATTACAATGAAATATAATGACATTTTAAACTGTTGACATTGCTCTAGTGAGATTCTCATTTAAAATGAAAAAAAGGTGTATGTGTGGTAGCGATACTAACCTGAATTTTAAGATATTTTTATCCAAATTACATTAGCTATGCAAAACATAATCAGTTAGTATTTAAAAGTTTGTAATTTGTCAGTTAGAATGAAAGACATGTGCATTTCTTCTGTTGCTTTGGTATTTTACTTCGTTCTGTTGGCTATCAAAAAGTAAATGCATTATTCAATGATTCATTTTTGAAACCTGGCAAATAACATTACATAATGAAAATTCTTTTACGTAGAATTTGTGAATGATCTAATAATTCATTGTATAGTCTTTTTTTTTCTCAGCATGTGTGCTTTTGCATTTACTAAGAGAAGCTTTTTGCAGTGTGTCATACTTTCCACCTGTTTGTGAAAGTTGTTTTTCCTCCTGCTCGTATCAAAGTTGGTATTAACACAGATGTTTTCATGAGAGATAATCCCACACCTGTAAATTCTGAAAGTTTGAGATTCCCTCTTCTGGGCCTCAGTGGTTATGTTTTTAATATTAAGCAGTAACATCTTGAAACATAATGTTGATTTCTATGCATTTAATTGCCATTTTTGTTTAACAGTGCTTTTGTATAAATTAGTAAATGTCATCCTCAGCAGGTGTTTACTTGGGGGATTTAGAAAGCACCTGTGAATTACTGAATTTAACTTCCCTCTCCCTTCTCTCCTGCAAATTAGTAGTTCAAATACAGTCAGAATATTTCAACAGATTTTCCATTGCCAACTTGTCCACTACCCTTGGTGAATATAAAAAAATACTTTACTACCACTGTAACGCTAAAATAAGAGACTGATGTACTTTTTTCTGTGTTTTGTTGTTGTTGTTTTTTTTTTACTTTAGGAATGACTGGCAATTACCTACTAACAAACCCTCTTCTTCGACCCCACGGCACTAACAACCCCTATAACACATTGCTCGCTGAAACAGTTGTATGTAATGCCCCTTCAGCTCCTGTATTTAACTCACCAGGTGTGCTTTACTTACAAATAAAACTACCTTTCTTTGCTGCTAAACAGAGCTATGATCTTTGCCCTGTTTCTAAAATATTCAAGTTGCCATATATTTATTATTACATTCTTAATTTATCAATTAAAAAAAATTACCGTATTGCCTATGCCAGGCTTCTAAAACTGCACTATATTATAGTAAAAGCTCAGTCATGATAGTATTTACAATAATTATCCATGTTTTTAACACAGGTGGCATAAATCTTAATATATTATTACAGGACTGACATCACATGGTCTGAGAGCCCATCTTCAAGATTTATATCATTTAGAGGTATCCTATCTATATAATATACTGTTCAGTTAATTCTAAAGCTTGCTGACAAAATTTGCTTCTGGAATGAATTAGCTAATGAAGATAATTTGGATGCCTAGCTATAGAAAACCACATTCAGCTTATCAATATATCCAAACTATAGTATAGTGCAGCTTTATGTAGTTTTCTTTTTTCTTAAGAAAAAATTCAGAATAAAGTTAATATTAGTCAGCTTATACCTATAGTTTTTAATTGGGGGAGGGGGAAAGATTGTCACTAACCCATCTTATATTACTATGTTGTTTAATAGCTTATTTTAAATAAAAGCATATATATATTTAATATTAACAATTTTCAAGATTTTGGTAAAGTTTTCACATAATTACTGCTAGCATATAATCTTTATTTGTGATGAATATTTGCCACTAAATTAAACACAGAACTTCGTTTCCATTTTTTTCTTAAAATTATTTTTTAATGTAACTGCAGCTTCTCTTTTCATTCTCTTGTTTTTTTTTACTTTCTTTATGCTTTCCTCTAGCAACCTACAGAGAGACAAGTATGGGAGTAAAACTTAACTTTGCCTATCAAATGTAAATTTTTTCAGCATGATTTTTAACGGGCACAATTAAAACATAACTAGCAGTCATGAAGTAGACTCAGCGGGCAAGTGGTTCACAATTTGCAACTAAAATGTTACCAAATTCAAACAGTACATCCATCTGTACTGCCTTTTGTCAGTAATGGAGGTCTGTAGCAAATGCTGTCCATACTTAAGTATACGCAATGCTGAAATAATTTGCTCTATAAAGCCTGAAGTACTGTCAACCAAAATGCTTAATAATTGATTTATCATTTCTGCATTCCCACAGTAATCTTGCTACAGGCTGTGGAAAATCTTCAAGTGAATTACCTGAACTTGGGCAGAAAAAGATACCTCTTCAAAACCAGTCAAAGATGGCTTAAATCTGCAGTATATCATAGAAAAGACCTTTTGGATTATATCCAGTATATAGTGTTATATTTACCAAGCAATGATAAAACAAAAGAAAATCTTTGAAAACAGTGAACCTCTACAGAGGAAACAAATGCTAGCAAGTGAGCCATGTGTCACTCATACCTTTAAGTGCCAAATGTTTTTTTTAATAATCTTACAAAGATTATAGCGCATAACATGAATTTATGAAGCTAAAGAATTGTGTCTACCAAGTTAAAGGAAGCCTTACAAATAACTATCACAATTTCATTTTGTTGCACATGGAACATGATACAAATTTGTCAGTTTTTCAAATGTGGAAGTTGGGACAGTCTTTAAACAATACAAATCACTAACAAATATAATCTTCCCTCATTTTCTCGTTTTTTTGCTGATGATAATTTGCCCAACAATGATCACATATTTATTGGTCATGAAGTTTGTATCAGGCAGTACAGATTTATTTTTTTTTTTTTCTGAAGGAAACTGCATTTTCTAGGATATCTGCAGCTTTAAGAGTGGAGTGAGCACTAAAATGGGAAATTTCGTATTTTTTTTCCAAGAACTAAATTTTTTCCTAAACTCCTCCAAGCCTTGCATACAATGCAGCAGCCTCACAGTGGTCAGTTTCATTTCAATAACATCATTTCATTCTTTTTTTTTTACAGACCTATCTGTAGACTGTGATTTTTTTTTCTCTAGGATTTTGAGAATGAATAACCTAACTTTCCATGGTGCAGACCATTTAATTTTCTCTTGACTTTTTTTTTTCATTTGCTTGAGAAGCACTGTGATGTCTTAGTTTACATGTTTATGTGTCTGTGGAAAATACAACTCTGATTCCAATAGAGCATGTTACCATGTTTTTTTTTCCCCCTCCTAAACCTCTTTTCCTATCTTCAGCAGACTTATCCAATCTTTCATTCCTTTAGAAATAAAAGTATATTAGCCAAGGCTGCCACCCTTCTCCCATTCCATAGTTAATATTTATTCTTGGTTTAATTTCTGTGACCCATACTTAAGAAATCTCTAACATTTCTGCGTTTGACCTCCATGGCCATGGTGTCTGTGGGCCAATCTCGTACAGTGGACTCTGCTGGTTCATTCGGTGCTGTCACTGTGACTGATGCAGACTGCAGGGCTGCAGGCAAACTTTGACCACTAGAAGCCTGGGGCCATTGCTATTAGAGAGATTATTAGTACCAAAAACTCAAAATAATAAATATTAAATGAAAAATAAAAGGCTGCTATTGCTGGTAATCTAATTTGTTGAACCCTTGCTCTGACTAAGTTGCTGAGAAGCTTAGAAATTCTTCATCATGCTACAATAAATCATTTTACTTTCTTTTATATATCAGCTACTCTTAGGCCAGATAGCCTGAGCAGACAGACATGATGTGAGTTGTCCAAAGTGAGTCATTCCACCTGCTGTCTATCGTGATGTTGGATGGTGCTTGTGGACCCCTGGTCCAGTCAGTATGAGAGATGGCTGTCTTTGTTTAACATGACTTCTTTGTATCTGTCCATGTTTTCATTCTTTTTTTTACTTCATCTCCAGAAAAAAGGAAATGTTAGAATGTTGTTTAAAAAGTTGCTTGCCAGTTATGTGGGTTTATGTTGTACATTTTGCCTTTCAGTTTTGTATTGTGACTTATTCCTTTTTAATTTAGTGTTGTTTAGGACAAATTCTGTTAATTTTATTTTTATAAACCATAGTCTTGTACTTTAAAATGTAAATGTCACTAATGAATTGCTTTGCATTAACTATGCAAGGGCATGGAGTGAAGTTTTCTTTGTGTCAGAGATTTGACCAAAATCAATTAATAAGTACTGTCTCCCGAAATTGACAAAGTATTACTGTGTATGCCATTTTCCCTCCCTTGAAAACAGTATTATTTTTAACACTTTTTCCTGTTATCTGAGGGGTTGCAACTGTTTACAGTTGGGAATGCGGGAAAGCCTGGCACTTCTCAAGTGTTAGCTTTCAAATACAACTTTGTCCTGAACGACATTAAAAAGTTTTGTACAAAAGAAATAGAGTTTCTTTGTAAAGGAACAGAGACAGTAACGATAACTCCCCCTCTTCTGTTTCAGGACATTCACTGAACAATGCCAGGGATACAAGTGCCATGGATACTCTACCGCTAAATGGTAATTTTAACAACAGCTACTCGCTGCGCAAGGGTGACTATAGTGACAGCGTGCAAGTTGTGGACTGTGGACTAAGTCTGAATGATACTGCTTTTGAGAAAATGATCATTTCAGAATTAGTGCACAACAACTTACGGGGCAGCAGCAAGACTCACAACCTCGAGCTCACGTTACCAGTCAAACCTGTGATTGGAGGTAGCAGCAGTGAAGATGATGCTATTGTGGCAGATGCTTCATCTTTAATGCACAGTGACAACCCAGGGCTGGAGCTCCATCACAAAGAACTCGAGGCACCGCTTATTCCTCAGCGGACTCACTCCCTTCTGTACCAACCCCAGAAGAAAGTGAAGTCTGAGGGAACTGACAGCTATGTCTCCCAGCTGACAGCAGAGGCTGAAGATCACCTACAGTCCCCCAACAGAGACTCTCTTTATACAAGCATGCCCAACCTTAGAGACTCTCCCTATCCGGAGAGCAGCCCTGACATGGAAGAAGACCTCTCTCCCTCCAGGAGGAGTGAGAATGAGGACATTTACTATAAAAGCATGCCAAATCTTGGAGCTGGCCATCAGCTTCAGATGTGCTACCAGATCAGCAGGGGCAATAGTGATGGTTATATAATCCCAATTAACAAAGAAGGGTGTATTCCAGAAGGAGATGTTAGAGAAGGACAAATGCAGCTGGTTACAAGTCTTTAATCGTAGAGCTAAGGAATTCCAAGGCCACATGCAAGTATTAATAAATAAAGACTCCATTGGCCTGATGCAGCTCACTCAAACTCTGCTTGAAGAGATGACTCTTGACCTGTGGTTCTCCAGTGTAAAAAAGATGACTGAACCTTGCAGTTCTGTGAATTTTTATAAAACATACAAAAACTTTGTATATACACAGAGTATACTAAAATGAATTATTTGTTACAAAGAAAAGAGATGCCAACCAGGTATTTTAAGATTCTGCTGCTGTTTAGAGACATTGTGAAACAAGCAAAACAAAACTTTTCAGCCATTTTACTGCAGCAGTCTGTGAACTAATTTGTAAATATGGCTGCACCATTTTTGTAGGCCTGCATTGTATTATATACAAGACGTAGGCTTTAAAATCCTGTGGGACAAATTTACTGTACCTTACTATTCCTGACAAGACTTGGAAAAGCAGGAGAGATATTCTGCATCAGTTTGCAGTTCACTGCAAATCTTTTACATTAAGGCAAAGATTGAAAACATGCTTAACCACTAGCAATCAAGCCACAGGCCTTATTTCATATGTTTCCTCAACTGTACAATGAACTATTCTCATGAAAAATGGCTAAAGAAATTATATTTTGTTCTATTGCTAGGGTAAAATAAATACATTTGTGTCCAACTGAAATATAATTGTCATTAAAATAATTTTAAAGAGTGAAGAGAATATTGTGAAAAGCTCTTGGTTGCACATGTTAGGAAATGTTTTTTCTTACACTTTGTCATGGTAAGTTCTACCCATTTTCACTTCTTTTCCACTGTATACAGTGTTCTGCTTTGACAAGTTAGTCTTTATTACTTACATTTAAATTTCTTATTGCCAAAAGAACGTGTTTTATGGGGAGAAAAAAACTCTTCCAAGCCAGTTATGCCATGCCTTGCACAGAAGTGGTGAAATCTAGAAAAGATTGTGTGTCACCCCTCTGTTCATTCTTGAACAGAGGGCAAAGAGGGCACTGGGCACTTCTCACAAACTTTCTAGTGAACAAAAGGTGCCTATTCTTTTTTAAAAAAATAAAATAAAACATAAATATTACTCTTCCATATTCCTTCTGCCTATATTTAGTAATTAATTTATTTTATGATAAAATTCTAATGAAATGTAAATTGTTTCAGCAAAATTCTGCTTTTCTTTTCATCCCTTTGTGTAAACCTGTTAATAATGAGCCCATCACTAATATCCAGTGTAAAGTTTAACACGGTTTGACAGTAAATAAATGTGAATTTTTTCAAGTAGTTAACATGTGAACTCTTATGTATGATACATAATTGGCTTTAACATGTTGGTCCCTTCCCACCCCTTCCCACCTTGGTTTAAGTAATGTCATACCAAAGCCCAGGGATATATGAAAGGATACAATTAAGTTGCCTGTTTGTTCTTTATGCTGAAAAGAATGTATGTCTTCTCATTTCCCACTACATATGCACAAAATCTGTTGGATAAATTTTAAGAGGGATATATTCTGAAAGCATTTTTGTTTGTTGCATTGTAACAGGACTAAAAAAAGAAGGGTTGGAAGTTCTACCATCAAATTTGGGCATCATAAAAAGTTTTTAACTGATTTTTTTAACTGATTTTTCAGCAGTATTGGGAAATTTCTTAAACATACTTTAAGGATTATAAATATCCCTACAGATAGCTGTGAATACCAATATTCATTACCCTGGAAAAGTTTTACTCCAAGTTCAAAAATCATATAATTGAATATCAAGAAACAGATTTTTTCTGTTTGTATCATAAGCATTTATACAAAATTATTCTAAAGCTTAATGGTTCTAATTCTCAGATACTGCCACCAGCTTATAAATCACTTAGTTTTATGTAGACACACACATGCCTATTGAATTTAAAAAGGAATGAGATTTAAAAATTTAAAAATTAAGTGCATATATATATATATTTATATTTATTTATTTATTTTTATTTATTTTTTTTTTTTAAGAGTGTCCCTTTGTCACCCAGGCTGGAGTGCAGTAGTGTGATCTTGGCTCACTGCAACCTCCACCTCCCAGGTTCTCAAACAGATTTAACAATCCTCTGAGAAGGGTACTCATTTCTTTGGCTAAAATTCTTCCGGGATTTATAAAGTTTGCTTGCTAAAGGAGGGCATTAGATAATCAAGTATTTTTAATTTTCTATCTTGTTATACTTATTTTGAATGCCTAAAACTATACAGTATTGTGTGATGTGTACTTCCTAGTATACAAGCTACCTAGAGTCAGGCTGGTTCAGTAATAAATTTTTTAAAGGCAACACTGATTATTCAGTTAGCCCTGTTTCTTTCTCTTGAGGCAGTTCTCAAAACTCTAAAGACATGAACAGTGCATAGTACCTAAATGGCTACTGTTCTCTAATGTCTTTATCCTATGGATTCAATTTGGAAACCATCATTGATCTTTGGCCTCAAAAGAAGTCATTTTAAAGCATTTCTTTTCAAAAATATATAAACGTTGCCTTAAATTCCATCTAGGATTCCCTTAGTACAAGATAGTTTCTTAGGTTTGTAATTATTAAACTACTGTTTTAATGCAGATGCATTATTGTATTTATTAACCTAGTTTCTTGGGATCTGCCCAGACTTCACCTGAATGTACAGTTTTCACATTCTTGATTGTTTTCTCTTTGTGATAGTCACAACTGTGAACTTAGAAAGTCACATTTTTATAGTTCTTCCTAGGGACATTCGCTCTGTTAGTCTTTATTTTAAAAAAATAGTCATAATATTATCTTGTTATGTTGGTCAAACTGGTCTCTAACTCCTGGTCTGAAGCAGTCCTCCACTTGGGCCTCCCAAAGTGTTAGGATTAGAGGTGTGAGTAACTGCGCCAACATTAGTCTATTCACAATAAGGATGTTTGTGTTAATTTGTTTTAGATGTGACTTGATACAGGTTACTCCAAATTGACCTCCTCTTGTTTTTTAAAAAAGGCCTTTCTATTTGCAAAACACACACAAGACCCACTTATAGTTTATCCATTTATATATTTTCATCTTAGAGGCATTTATATTCATTTATGTGGAAGAATCCATACAAATCTATAAATCACTTAAATATGTCCTCATTTTCCACTCATCCACATTTGAGGGCACTGACATATAATATTTTAACCAGTAAAACATTATTTGACAGAAAATCACTATCTTCTCCCCAAAAAGAAGAGAAGCGTCATGCACAAATTTATTGCTAAATTTCAAAAAAAAAAAAAAATCATGTTCACTTGTTTTATGAATGTGTTTAGGATGCTTTATGTATTATTTCAATGAGAAAGGAGAAAATGTATTTTTCCTTCAATTCAACATTGAACCTCAGGCTTAAAACTGACTTTTTAATGTCCTTGTGGGACAGGGAGTTTTGTAAACAATTTTAACTCAGTAAGTTACAATGTTCTAAGTAGAAAAACTTAAAGAAATGCCCACTAGTTGAATTTTTGAAATGAAAATAGCTCTTTGTATTTTCTCAATACTGAAATCTTGAAGGGCAGTCCTTCCTGCAGAATTTTACAAAAAACTTAGTACCTAGAGTTTACACAATCCTGTGTTCCAGCTATTTCTCTTTCCCCGGAGGTATTTCATTAAATCTCAAATGTCAGTATGAAAAGTTACTGGCGTGTTGAATGTAGATGAGAATTGCTTCTCAGCATAATAAGATTAGTTTTTTGTTTTTTTTTTTTCTTGGTGAAAATGCCATATCATATGCTTCCTGCTAGTGAGCACCAAGTTGATTTGGAGTAGTCCTTAAAGAGCATGTATAGGGAGACTGGAAGCATTGGTGTTAAAGAATCATGAGTGAATAGTAGTGAGTCTGGAGATTAATTTGTGACAGCCTTAATTATCATTTGAATGGTTTGGAATTAGAACTTTCAGTTATGTCAGTTGTATTCTTTCTCCAAATGATTGTAGAAATGCATTGTGTTAGTCAAATGCACTAAGCAGGAAATTTTGAATGTTTAAGAAGGATATTGGACCAGGTGCAGTGGCTCATGCCTGTAATCCCAGCACTTTGCGAAGCCGAGGTGGGCAGATCACCTGAGAGCGGGAGTTCAAGACCAGCCTGGCTAACATGGTGAAACCCTATCTCTACTAAAATACAAAATTAGCTGGGCATGGTGGCGTGTACCTGTAATCCCAGCTACTCAGGAGGCTGAGGCAGGAGAATTGCTTGAACCTGGGAGGCAGAGGTTGCAATGAGCGGGGATCACGCACTGCACTCCAGGCTGGGTAACAGAGTGAGATTCCATCTCCCAACAGAAAAAAAAAAAAGATACCACATTTTTAACCAAAATGTACTTTATATGTATTCCTGATGCCTTGTACAACGTGTGGGATCAATAGGAACTCCTGGAAGTTATGCAAGTTCATTTCAAGGCGCTGTGGCCATTGAGCTTTCAAGGCCAGCATAACATCTCTCTGTCAGAGGGCATTAATAAGCCTAAGTGCACCGTATAATTAGGCTAATTAAATGTACTACAAGCATTTTTCAAATATTAGCAATAGACCACTCCTCAGCTCTTAATAAGGCTTCTCCGGAGTCTTCCTTCTGATGGCATTACTTTTACTGAGTGTTCAGTTTCTCAGAAAGAAGCCTTCAGAAGCCAGTTTGGTTTTTAAATCTTTTGGTTTTTACTGGTGAAAATGTTCTGAATTAAAACATTGTGAAATGCTGCTAGGTATACTGGCATTTAACATTATGGATCACAATGAAATAAGAAACAACAAAAACAGGTAACTTAATACAGTTGAGCTCACCAAAACCTTTACCTGCTGTGGGAAAAGAATACTGCCCCATGAATCTTTCACATATTTCTCTATTATGTACTTATCAAAGCTGTAAGACCAAAGTCTCTTAGAAATGTTTAAAAGGCACAGTTAAGCAAACCAATGTTGTGTGGGCATAAGAGACTAGTGATGAATGATCAATTACTGAATAGTTTTCTGAATGTGTTTTTCACAAGCATTTTTAAATCACATGTTAGAAGTAAGCTTTTTTAAAAGCATGGAGGAAATCACAGCAACATGGCTTTCTTGTTTGATTTTATTAGGGAAAAATGACGGATGGTTTGATACTCTCTTAAAAAGGCTGACAGCTACTATATAGAACCACTCAGGAACAATAATGATAGGTATCAACGATACTGATTAGATGAAAGATTCATTTATGTTTTTCTGCTGAAATATCAATCTTAATAAATAGATGGCTTTTAAACCAAAACGTAGTACTAATATACAATAAATTCTTTTACCACTGTAATAAAGGAGCTACAAAACAAGGATTGCTGTCTAGTTTTTTAAAGATCCCTCAGACTAAATGATTTTGTCCCATTCACTAATTTTGCACAGTACAACAGAAATAAAAGCACTAGCACCTACCTCTTGACAGATGCTTAAATATATGCCAGGCTCTGTACTAAATGTTGTTGTTTTACTGCACTTAATCCTCAGTTCTTTGAGTAGGGTATTATCTATTTTTTGCAAAGAAGAAAAATAGTTTGCTCACGGTCTCACAGCTGTAAGTGGCAGAACCTTCACTAGAATGATTTATCTTTGACTGCATAGTTTGAGCATTTAACCAACATGTGTCACCTCTAGTTTTACTTGGAGTTCCAAGAATGTTCTTTATACATCATGGACTCTGTCTCTGCTGCCAGTCATAAATGGTTTTTTGTTGCTTTTGAGTCTACGGAGAAAAATGGAAATTAAGTAAGGAAGTCAAATAAGTCGAAGTGTTTCAGAAGAAGAAACCCCTGGTAAAAGATATTTACCTCTAAAAGGTAAATCTTAGCAGAAGTGGGCCCAGTAGATTGGGTGACAGTCAAATGTAAAGTTGATTATTGGTTACTAATGTGTCCCCTTTGGAGATAACTTACATGGTTACCAGGAGGGAGTTTGTAGTGGGGGAAAAAATCAAAAGAATTTGATTTAGGACATCCAAATTCTAATCCTCAGCTGAAAAGAATGCCGGTTCACCCAGTCAGACTGGTACCCTCAAAAAAATGAGAATTTATTTAAGTATTTGGTTTTTATTTCCCTGTACAACTAAGCTATAACAGCAAAATTTTTTAAAAGCCATGTGAAAAATAAAAGTTTTATAGTTTCCTTACTTTTTTCTTTCTTTCTTTTTTTTTTTGTTTTTTTGTTTTTGAGACAGAGAGTCTTACTCTATCGCCCAGGCTGGAATGCAGTGTCACGGTCTTGGCTCACTGCAACCTCTGCCTTCTGGGTTCAAGAGATTCTCCTATC